CTGGGAAGGCATTGTGGAATTTCTTGCAAGGTCGTTGGACTTGCAGGACCGCAGTGGAAGCGCCAGTAAGGTTCCAGCAGAACTAGCCTAAACGGATGGTAGCCAAGAATCTGTAATGGGAGACAGAAAGATGGCCTCAGCTTCAAGGTTAGCCTCCTCACGGTCTATCAAAAAAAAAAAAAAAGTAAAACAAAAACGAAAACAAACCAAACCAAACCAACAACAAAACAAAAATATCTAACAACGAACAAACTTAAACAAACTTAAACCACTAGATAATTCTGCACCCCGCCAACCCGCAAGGCTGCGGCAGCTTAGAAAAATAGGGCTGTTCTTTCTTTTGCTGAAGGTTTGACCTCCCCGAGCCTGGTGCCCTAGCGGGCTTGCGCGGAGGATCCCACACCCTCAAGGTACACCTTAGGCTGGCCACACTCATCCACGTTGACTAGCCCACGGAGGGCTTTAATTCCAGAATACAAGCTCCACAGGAAAACAGATGCAGAGGCAGCTATGGCTGCCGGAAGCCGCATCCCTTCCTTGCTGTGCTCGTCCAGGTGATTTCCTTATGCTATTTTGAAATTCACTTTTAAAAACTCTTAAACTGCTGTCCCACCAGTTCAGTGTCCTTGATGGTGCAGGAAGCTAATCGTGTCGCCCTGGGAAGGCCCTGCATTTGGTCTAGTTTAGTACAAATACCGTGAAATAAACTCCCAAGGCCCCAGGCTTTGTGCAGATTTTTGTAATGTTTCAGCGAAATAAATTCCTAGCAGCAAAACTGCTGATTCGAAAGAAATTTCACTCAATTGTTAAGTAGGGAAATCACCAAAATCAACCTATTATTATTATTATTATTATTATTATTATGTGTGTGTGTGTGTATGTTCACTCATGTATGGAGGTCAGAGGACAATTTCAGGAGTTGGTTCTTCCTACCATCTGGGTCCTGGGGAAGGAACTCAGGCTGTCTCTCCCTGGATCTGCTGAACCTTCTCACGAGTCCCTAATCTCCCCCACCCCCTTTTAAAGTCTAAGGCAAAAAACTCTTCCACTCTTTTTGGCCATTTGCCTGTTTTTGCACATTTGTACAGCTATGTTTATTTTCCTTCCACTGCATTTCGATGTAAAGAATCCTTGCTTATATTTAACAGATATTTAGTGTTTCTTTGTATGGCTCTTTGTCACATGGCCGGTGCCTGATGGGTGGACATTTTCTGTTGCTATTGCACACATACTGCAGTAAACAAACTTGGGGGTTTTTGTTGGTTGGTTGGTTATTTTCATTTGGTGGGTATATCTGTGAGGGAGCTCCTCAAAGTGGGTTACTGGGTCAAAGGGTGTCTTTGTTTAATTGTCCTTGGAGGTGGCGATTTACATTGCTAGGGGAATGCTGGCAGTTACTTTTCCCAACCCTCTCCGAGCCTCAGGTACTGGGCAAGCCTCCCCTCTACCTTTGAACTGTTTACCTAACCCTGTCTCTAGACCTATTTTTTATGTTTGTTTGTTTGATTGATTCAGAAGGTTGCTTGTTGTTAAATATTTTACAGTATGTGGGGGGGGGCTTTGAACTGTTTACCTAACCCTGTCTCTAGACCTATTTTTTATGTTTGTTTGTTTGATTGATTCAGAAGGTTGCTTGTTGTTAAATATTTTACAGTATGTGGGGGGGGGATGGGTGGGTGTTGTGTATACACAAGGCCAAAGGAGATAATTGGATCCCCTGGTGCAGGAGCTCTGGTCCTTTAAAAGAGCAATATGCTTTTTCTACAAGAGAACAGTATGCACTCTTAACTGTTAAGCCATATCTCCAGCCTCTGTTTTGTTTTTTCTTTTTACATTTTCATTTATTTACTGTGTGTGTGAGTGTGAGTGCTTGGCGGTCAGAGGTCCGCGGTCTGTGGAAGCAGGGGATGGAACTCGGGTCCTCGAGCTTGGCAGCATAGCACTTTGACCAGCTGAGCCATCTGGCTGGCCCCTGGGTTTGGTGTTTTGAGACAATATGGACGTGTAGTCCAGGCTGGGTTAGAACTCACTATGAAGCCAAAGTTGATCTTGAACTCTGGAATCTTTGCCTCCACTTCCCCGTTGTGTGTGAGAGCTACCACATCTGGCCTGCTTACATATTGATAGATATTGTCAAATTCGTCTGCAAAAGAGGTCTAGTAATTCACACTGCTTTGCCTCATTCTTAGACCCTGTGGGTCATTTAGACACTGTCAGTGTCACTGGAGAGCTGGCATCTAACTTCACATCTTGGTTAGTGAAGCTGAGTGTCTTCCCACATCCCGGAGCACAGGAGCATCTCCCCTGCAGCCAATTGCTGGCTCTTCCTTTTGACCATATTTTCAAATACTCCTTTCCTCGTCAGCCCATAGAAATTCTGTATATAGTCCCCCCCCCATTGATCTCAGTTTTATTGTGGTTGGTCTAGTTTATAGCTCGATTTTCAACTTTATGTTGGCCTTTGTTTTCTTTGGTGTAAGATGTCTTTTTAATCATATACTCCATCAAGCTGGTTTGCCTTGATATAGATAGATAGATGGATAGATAGATAGATAGATAGAGATAGAGACTCTTACTTCCCTGTATGATGTATGCCTACTCCAAGGATGTTCCAAGTAATTGAAACATACAAGAATGCGAGTTACGTATTGCAAAATCAGGTAGTGTTTTCACAAACCCCTTTTCTCATTTAGCAAATGTTATGTGGAAATATATCTAGAATTCTTTCATTCTTTTTTGAATAAACTTCACAGTGTGCAGTTGTGTAGCTAACATGTTATTTATTTGACTAATTTTCTACTGATGGGTATTCAGGTTGGTTCTTTGACACAATTCTAAACTCGTGTGTGTGTGTGTGTGTGTGTGTGTGTGTGTGTGTGCGCACCCACGCTTGGGTTTTATTCATGGGAATGTGAGTGTGCACGCCCTAAGCACCCAGTACAGTGCATGCAGAGGTCAGAACAGGACAAGGCATGTTGTCCTCTATCCCTTACTGCCAATTGCCTTGAGAGAGGCTCTCTCACTGAACTGGAAGCTCCACATTTTGCCGTTTCTATCAGGCTGACTGACCACGTGGTGTCTCTGCCCTCAAGTGCTGGGGTTTCAGGCACACACCCTGGCTTTCTTTGTGGGTCCTGGGGATTCAAACTTAGGAGCCTGTGCTTGCAGAGCAAGCTCTCTTATCCAGCAAGCCATCTCCCTAGCCCCAAGGCTGCATCTTAATTAAACAAGTAGTTTTTTCTTAATCTAATTTATGGGAAATATGGCAACAGTGCGATCACTCTTTTATATTAAGGAATTGTTGCTTTGGTTTTTATTGTTGTTATTTTGTTTGCTTTGTTTGAAAATGGTGTCTGACCCTGCCTTGCAGTCATTCTCCTTCCTCTGCCCCCTGAGCCGGAGTGACAGGTGGCCCGCCACACCTGCCATGGAGTCTCCTGAGCTGGAGGTGCAGGTGGCCCGCCACACCTGCCATGGAGCCTCCTGAGCTGGAGGTGCAGGTGGCCCGCCACACCTGCCATGGAGCCTCCTGAGCTGGAGGTGCAGGTGGCCCGCCACACCTGCCATGGAGCCTCCTGAGCTGGAGGTGCAGGTGGCCCGCCACACCTGCCATGGAGCCTCCTGAGCTGGAGTTGCGGGTGGCCCGCCACACCTGCCATGGAGTCTCCTGAGCTGGAGGTGCAGGTGGCCCGCCACACCTGCCATGGAGTCTCCTGAGCTGGAGTTGCGGGTGAACCCTCCACACTGGCATGGAGTCACTCTTTTATTGCTATAATAATACTCTTGTTAAGTTTCTTAGAAAGTCTCTTTGTGGGTGAAGTAACACAATGTTTTGCTAAAAAGTGCGGCCATACCAAAGAAATAGCACTGTTTCCGAGATGATAATGGGAACACCAGGAGGCAGTGAGCATCCATATGGCATTCTCTTTCATTTTGTATGTATTTGCAAAGTATCATAACAAAATATTTACAATAATTGAAATTGTTTCACATATACACGGTATGGTTACGATTACAAGATAAATTCGTAGAAGTAAAAATTTAAAAACATGCCAGATGGTGATGGTACATACTTTTAATCCCAGCTCTTGGGAGGCAGAGGCAGACAGATCTCTGTGAGTTCGAGGCCAGCCTGGTCTACCGAGTGAGGTCCAGGATAGCCAGGGCTACAGAGAGAAACTCAAAAAAAAAAAAAAAAAGAAAAGAAAAAAGAAAAAAATTAAATACAACAAAGCCATTATAGGTATTTATATATTTCATATCAAACATGCCAGCTCACATCCCCAGTAAGCAAAAACACAAGTGTAATTTCACTGCTTCCTTCCAGAAGAGGTCAGGCTTTCAGAGTAAAACCTTTCCAAGTAAAAAAACACAAACAAACCCTCAGAGTTTCCAACTGCTAGTAAGGTTAAACCTGCTAATATTTATTCTGCATTTTTATTTTATCTGCTGTACACTTGATTACTTCTGTGTTGAATTGACTTCTCTTACCTCAAGTTTGAAAGAGATCTTTTTAAAAATTTACTATTTACTTACTGTGTGTGTATATGCGTGTATTGCCTGCTTGTATGTATGTGTGTCTTGTGTGTGCAAATGGGTGCTTGTGAGCCGCCATGTGGGTGCCGGTTGTGAAACCTGGGGCCTTTGTAGAAAAGACGTGCCCCCACTGGCTGAGGAGTCGCTCCAGCCCTGCAAGGGCTACTAACACACCAAGGAAACAAACCCTTCTGTGGCTTGTGTTGCAGACATCCCTCAGGTCTTTGCTTTTTGCAAATCGTTCTGAGATTTATTTTGTTTGTGAATCGAAATTGAAACTGTCATTACATCTAATGACTGTCTCCTTTGGGCATTTTAGACTTTAGTTCCTGATGGGAAATGGAGAGGGGGAGGAGGGAGGGACGGACGGAATTAGAATGTGGAAATGCCCATTTGTGGAAGGAGGAATCCATTCTGCACAACCCCGGGCAGACACTCAAGTCACTTAAAGAAAATGGTGCTGGGTGTCGCTTCAGCAGCACACGTACTAAAATTGGAAAGATACAGAGAAGATTAGCATGGCCCCTGCGGGAGGGTGACACGCAACTGTTTGGAGCATTCCATATTAAAGGAATCAGAGGAAGGAAAGAAAGAAAAGAGGTGCTAGGCAAACTTACCGTCCTGGTGTTTTTCCTTGCCAGTAACATCAGTGCTATGTAAATGTTATGTTAATGGCCATTAATTCTCTTTTTTGTTTTTGTTTTTGTTTTTTGGGGTTTTTTGAGACAGGGTTTCTCTGAAGCTTTGGAGCTCCTTTAGACCAGGTTGGCCTCAAATTCACAGAGATCCACCTGCCTCTGCCTCTGCTCCTGAGTGCTGGGAGTAGCCACGTGCCACCACTGCCCAGCTCATTTAAGAAACTCTTCACTAAACATTTTGATCTGAATTTGCTTGAATCCTTGAATAAGCACAGAAACACACATCTAAGAGTTGTCTGACAGGTCAGGAGGAAGGTTGGGGGGACTGTGGGAGAGCACTGGTCCCATTTGCTCAAGGTGCTTGGTGCCATCTTTAGTACTGGGGGAAAATTTTTGTTTTCAAAGCAAACTAAATACTTCAAAAAAATTATACAAAGGATGCTGGGAGAAATATTCCTTCTCTGATCAACTTTTAGTCCCCAGAGGGAACAGAAGGAAAGGCAGATTCCCTGCCAGACATACACAGACACACACATACATACATGACTTGCTACTGTGTGGGTACATATGAGCACACAGGAGTTTACTCTACAAATGCATAATACACACACACATGCACATAGACACACACACATAAATATATACACACACATGCATACACACACATACCTACACACATACACATAGATACACACACATAAATATATACACACACATGCATACACACACATACATACACACGCACACACATACATACACACACATGCATACACACATACATACACATGCACACACATACATACACACGCACACACACATACATACACACGCACACACACATGCATACACACGCACACACACATACATACAAATACACGCATGCATACACACATACATACACACATGCATACACACATACATACACACACATGCATACACACGCACACATGCACACACATACGTACACATGCACACATGCACACACACATACACACATACACAACTTCACACATACTTGCTGTCTCAAGTGACAGTGTCTGGTGAATGTCGACCCAAGTTACTAGATGAAGCATTCCTCGTTCTTACTAAAGGCTCCAGAGTAGCCAAAGGCTCGCTGGTTTCATCAGCCATTCTATTATTAAGCTTTGGACATGTTTTTTGTTTGTTTTTTGTTTTTGTTTTTTAATGAAACTACATAGCAGTGGATTTGACCTCATCAAATTCCAGTGTTTCTTTAGGACAGACAGCTCTTCAGGGGCTCTAGGAGACCCTCATATTTATTGTCATTTGTTTGCTTATTTATGGATTGTATTGATATTATTCTGTTGGTCTACACAGACAGTGGCTCTCCAGGACACCACCAGTCCCTCTCCCTTTCCTCCTCGCCCTGACGTCCTATTTCCTCTTCTCTTTTATGCTGTGTGTGTGCGTGCACATACATGCAAGCATACATACATGCATACATGATTTGCAGTGTCTCTGAGCAATTCTAGGACCCCAGAGTGTGAGAGAACACGTGTTTTTGTCCAGTTCTGCCTGATTTCATTTAACTTCAGTTAATTCAGTAGCCTCAGGTCACACCTATTTGCCAGCAAATGGCTTCTTTAATTAAAAACAAAAACAAAAAAAAAACAAACCTCCATCTTTAAAATCTCTGTATGTGTGTGTGACAAGCCACAGCACTTGTATGGACGTCAAAGGACAACATTCTGTGAGTCTGCTCTGTCCTTCCACTATGTGGATCCGGGAGACAGAAACCAGGTCACCAGACTCAGTAGCAAATGCCTTAGCCCCCAGCTCTCAGCAGCCCCCAGTTTAATTCTTCTTTATGGCTGAATAAAACTCCATTGCGTTACCACACTCTATTATCCACCCCTCTGTTGATGGACACCTTGGCAGAGCCTGATCCCTGGCTACTGTGAATGGGGCTGCAGTTGCCCCCACCCCAATACTCTTCATATTGTGTCCATTTGTGTTTCTGTAGAAGCTTCAGGGAGCCTGATTACTCTGGCTCTGGCCAGCAGTTTTCCTAGTCTGAGAAATGCGATGTTTCAAAAATCCCAAGGACCTCAAACTGCTCTCCTGGTCCGTCTCTGACTTACTGTCAGCCTGAGCACTTCCCATTTTACTTTATTTTTAAAGATTTGCTTATTTTTACTTAATGTGCATGAGTGTTTTGCCTGCATGTATGTCTGTGCACCACATGTGTGCGCAGCCCCATGGAGGTCAGAAGAGGGTATCAGATAACCTGGAACAGACAGCTGTGCTCTGGAGAATTTGTTCAGCTTTGGCCCTGGCCTTGAGCAGCTGGGTGTGTTCTGACCCTGAGAGGGTTCTGCCAGGTAAGAGCTCTTCTCTCCCTGTAGAAGCATTTTCTCAGAAGCACTCTCATGGTCATTGCTTTCCTCTGATGTCTTTTATATCTTTCCTTGATTTTTGAAGCTGTTTTTCACATTTAAGTGTTAATTTGGTACTGTATACAGCGTCAGATAGATCACCTTATTCCAAACAATGAGCTAATTGTCCAGGGCCAATGTCTTGAACATCCTGCCTTTCCTCCAGCTGAATTGAAATGCCACCTTTGTAGAACATTCAGGATCCCTGAGGCCCTGTGGCTCTGCCTCAAAGTGCTTCTCTCCGAGTCTCTCTCACCACGTCAGCGACTCTGGATTTATAATAGATTTCACTGTATGGCAATGTGCGCATTGTCTCCTTTTTCTGTTTTGTTTTATATGTGTGTGTGCATAAATATAAAACTTTGTAAATACAAAACACAAATTTATCTATTTGTTTGACACAGGTCTCTCTATGTACAACCCTAGCTGTCCTTGGAATTCATTATGTAGACCAGGCTGACCTCAAATTCACAGGGGTCTTTCAAAGTCTGCCTCTCAAGTGTGCAGCACATCCAGCTCTAGTTTGATCATTTTTATTATCACATAATCATGTACATGGTGATGGGGTCACAGAACCATTTTTTTTCTGATGCTGGGGAGATGATTCCTAGTAGAGCACCCAGGCAGGGTGGGGGGCGCTGTGTGGGGCAGGAGGCAGAAACAGAAGGATCCCTGGGGTTTGCTGGCCAACAGTCTAACCAACCCAGGAACTCCAGGTTTACTGTGAGAGTCTGTCTGAAGCAATAAGGTGGATAGCAATAGTGGAAGATACCTGACACGGCCCTCTGGCTGTCACACACTTGAATATCCACATGTACATTCACACACAGACATTTTCATACACATGTATCATATGCTTTGACCAATTTCCCTCTCCTTTATATTTCTCTCCTTCTAATTATTCCTATATGTTCCCCCAGCCTTGTTTCTATTTTTAATCCTATATACACTTACATATCATATATGCTTTTTCCCCCCCAAGACAGGGTTTTTCTGTAGCTTTGGAGCCTGTCTTGGAATTAGCTCTTGTAGACCAGGCTGGTCTCGAACTCAGAGATTTGCCTGCCTCTGCTTCCCAAGTGCTATGATTAAAGGTGTGTGCCGCTACTTCCTGGCCATATATGCTTTCATATATATATATATATATATATATGTATGTATATGTATATGTATATATATATATCTCCAGAGATGAGGGAAACATAGTACTTGTATTCTGAGTTTGGCTTATTTCAGTTAATACAATGATTTCTGTTTGCATTCATTTTCATGCAGATTTCACAAGTTGGTTCTTATGTCTGGCTGCACAGAACTCCATTGTGGATATGCAACACTTTCTGTCTGTCCATCTGCTGATAGCCAGCTAGGCTGAATAGTGGGGCAATAAAATCGGATGGGCGGGGTCTCCAACATGTTCAGTTTTGCCTCTTTATTTATGGTTGGTCAAGACAGGGTTTCTCTGTAGCTTTGGAGCCTGTCCTGGAACTAGCTCTTGTAGATCAGGCTGGCCTCGAACTCACAGAGGTCCTCCTGCCTCTGCCTCCCGAGTGATGGGATTAAAGGCGTGCCCAACCACCACTGCCCGGCTTGCCTCTTTATTTTTTTCCCCAAGACAGGGTTTCTCTGCGCAGCCCTGGCTGTCCTGGAATTCACTCTGCTTTTCAGGCTGGTCTCCAACTCCAAGATCCTCTTTTGTCTCCTGAGTGCTGGGTTTAAAGGCACCAGCCCCTGACCCACCACCGCCGCCACCACCATCCGGTACCTCCTTTGATAGACTTTTCCTTAACTATTTAAATTTCCATAGTAAACGTGCGTGAATTTTCCATAAGGAATTTTTATAGTGGCAATATTTTTTTTTCTGGATCAAGGCAGGAAGAATCTTGTCTCAATTAGAAACCGACATATTAAAGCGAGACGTGTTGGCGCGTGTGCCTGTAATCCCAGCACTCCAGAGGCTGAAGCAGGAAGATTGCTGGGTTCAAGACCAGTCTGGGCTACATAACACAACCTTGTCTCATAAATGAAAATGAATAACCACAAAGTCACACACAACAGCTTCTTGCAGAAAGGGCCTTCCTGGGGCGAGGTAGGAAGTAAAGTCAGGGAGGGCCATCAGGGTCCTGTGGGAGAAGGGCCAGGGGCCCCTGTTTGATCTGGAGATTGAATTTGTAACTGCCAGGTTTGTTTTATTATCTTCTCTGCTCCCATTTTTACATTGTTCTGTTTAAAAAATTTATTTTTTATTGTAAATAAATCAGTTATATTTGAAAATAATTTAAATTTATTCTCTCTCCCCTTTCTCCATACAGGATCTCTAGAAATAGAACCTTGTCTATTTTATTATGTCCTCAGGGTCTAGAACAGTTCTTGGCACATTGATAAATATCTATTAAACAGTTAAATAGATATGATTCTAATTATTTACATAGATGGAATAGTACTATACATATTATTTATTTTAACATATTTTTCAATAATATTTTATGTATATAATAGCTTTGTATGTGTGTGTACCACATACATGGAGGTCAGAAGA